AAAAAAAGTTGTCTTTTATGTGGAAATTTCATCAGTATCTATATAATAAACAGAACATTACATGGCCGCTTAGGGATACGAATTTTATCTTCTAGTGCTGAAAGTATCTTTCACGAGTGAGGGCAGCGAACGAGAGATACTTTCAGCACTCGAAGATAAAATTCGTATCCCCGCGCGGCCATTTAATAACCTCTATATCTTTGTTAATACTAGAATTACAGTACTTGAATAAAACTATCGTTCTTACCGACGTAGAGTGCTATTCTGAAATTTTTGTATTTTTGAGGGGGAGGGGTGGGGGACTCAACACATTTCTTTCTCTTAAGAGGGAGGACTTATAAGAGTGGGGTAGCTTAATGGAGGATTTACGGTATGTAATTTAGCGGTGGCGAAATAAAAACTCGCTTGATAAATAATCAAACATGATAAGACAAAGAAGTCAATTTCGAGCGAAGAAACGCTTCACGACCGAGGGAAATTATTAATGAAAAGAAAACCGAAGCCGAAGTTCGGACATGGAAGTTGACTTAATATACAAACTTTCGCGATTTGTCTTCAAAAGTCACGTGACACTAGACATAACTTGAGACTAGAGGGAAAATAAGAAAACTCACCGAGAGGAATGTGTTAAAAACAATAACTCAACCGAAATACTGGATTATTCAAACAAAAACATACGCTTAATAAAATTCACCGGTCATAATTTATTTTCTTCTCAACATATGTACAGTTATAAGCACCTCGTATGCAACACGGCACAATATCTCTCCCATAAAATATTCCGAATAAAGTACTCTGTAATGGCGACCAAAATAAGACAGGTCATCCGGCTCGGTAACATAAAAATGACATTTTGTTGGTCATACTCCGCCAGAGGAAGAAATAGTTTTCATTTTCACGTAGGAACGAAAAGAAAAACGTTGCAAACTAGAGTTAAGTCATAAGATTCACTTATGACTTGTCAAATACACTGGCTGACAGTTCTTCGAAGCTACTATCTTATAATTTAGGGTCATTATGTCCGTACTGTATATAGTGCATGTCAAGTGTAAACGAACACAGCTTTTGCTATGTTTTTATTTAACAATTCTGCCTTGTCATTATTTGTCATAGGGGAGGAGAGACAGTGGCATCAAACTCAGTACTAGTGACGCCTCATTCTGCTATTCATTACTGAACCACTTTCTGGATAACGACACGTTTTCAGCTACATTGAAGTAGCAAAAGAGAAAAGGAGAAAATTAAAAAGCAGAGCGTAATAGAATAACGTGCGAGCGAAGCATGTCCGCGTGTTTGTATTTTTCCGTGTTGATAGTCATCTACTCTTGCTATGCGAATGTCTGTTTGCTGACGTGTGAATCATCATTCCATAAAAGAATGGATGACAGATGGCTTCATTGGCGCTCAAACGGCGGTCAGGTTCGTATTCTAACAGATGTTCGATGAGGTTGAAGAACAGTTCGTGTGTCTCTCCATCTCCACGTTTATATTTCTGATGAAAATGAAAAGGGAAATGCAAGTGTTTATTATATTCAACAGCTTCAAGTTCCACTGTGAACTCCTGGCTAAACAAACTCAATACAACTTGTTTTCTTATTATTCCTAACTGGGTCAGAGAGGCCCAAGTCTGTTGCTAATAGTTACACCTCAGATGTTTGATCAGACAAATTTAACCTTTAACTAATCAGTAACAAGTGAACAACATGTATCGCACCTTGAGCGCCTTACAGTTCTCTCTCACGTATCTTCCAGCTGAGCTCCTTTCGTCCCAGTCTAGTTTACCTTTATAAAAGTACTTGGTTTTTCTAAACGAAACAAAACCATAAAATGTTTCGTGATCAAGAGAGGAAAACCAGAAGATTAATTCATCCCATGAACAACTGGTTGGCCCAATGTTAGCAATTATGTGTTACTGAGTTATAGTTTAAGTTACTGTTATAAAGTTACTGTTGTAAAGTTACTGTTGTAAAGTTACTGTTGTAAAGTTACTGTTGTAAAGTTTCTGTTGTAAAGTTACTATTGTAAAGTTACTGTTG